TTCTCGATACACGCTTTACAAAATAAATGATATCCAAAGAAAGAGCTCGTCGAATAGCCAGCACTGGTTTCGGACAGTTTTATGCAATGCACAATAAAGCAATTATCTAACGAGATAATATGTTCTATTGATTTTTTTTTTTCTGTTAGACTGCACTCTTTGATAGATTCAATAATCACAAAAAAATTGACACATACGATTTATTACGTACTAAGCGATTAATTGGTCTATCTTTTATGATATTTAAATCCTAATTGCATTTTAGAAATTAAAGTACTTTGTACGTTCAGGAGGTCGAAAGCGGATTCGAATTCTGGAGTAAAAAACGAATTAAAGAACGGATTAATAAATATTTTTTGAATTTGCAAAGGCAAACCGGTTAAAATTATTTATGAGATTTGTATTGATGAAAAAAAGAGCAAATATTTTTATATCTGATGTGGAAGAGATATAGAATAAAAAAGTGATTTCTCTTTCTCTCTCATTATCCCCTTCTCTTTCTCTCTCTCTTTCTTTCTTTACGTTTCTATGAGTTTATATGAAACTGATTGAAATTAACCGATTTTATAACAAATATTAAGAATTGGTTTGCTCTGTATTGTCATATATCATTTTCTTGTCCAAATGATATTTTACCACTTTATATAGATACAAATGTTAGCGCATATCTAAATTACGTAATAGCAGAGCATTTATGTGTTGATTCAATATCAGACCGATAACAATTTTATTATTAAAAATAGATTTTGCACCTTGCATTTGCTGGTAAATGTCTTTTGCATCGTTTTGCATTATGGACTTCTTCGGATATTACGAGTAACATTTTGCTCATATGCTAGGAAAATTCAACGAACGAGGCAATAGAACTACTCATAAAACAATCATTTCGCCATCCGCTGGCACGAATCGCATGCTGAACGTCGGTAATATGTTTGATATTATTGCAGAGAGGGACGCGTTATGAATCTACGGAGAAATTGGTAGCCCGAGCGATGAACAATAGCCGATCATTTTTCGTAATTGTTTGGAACTCTCTGGAATTCTTCCAGAATTTTTGGCGAATTAATTTGTAGGCAACACGAAACATGCAAAATAAATTGCAAAAGAAAATGAAAAATTTGCCACATCGAACCATGTTTTTCCCGCATCAATCTACTACACTAAATCACGTAATATTGTATCAATGTAGTTTATATACTAAAATATTAATTTCCCGACAGAAAAAAAAAACGGGGGAAGTGATTAATTTTTTATTTTATTTGTAAAATACTTTAATCATAGCTTTCCAAATTTTATTTTTTGCTTCGAATATATCGTAAAATTACCGAGCAATATTTGTCAAAATAATTAAGTAAAAATATGATGTTATATGCATACATTCTTAATTGAACGTATGTTTAACGTGTTTCCAGTTATAAAATTGTTCGCTAAATTCTGCTACGTTGTTTAATTATAAAACTTCTGTAGCGTCCTACATGTTCGTTTTAACAGAAGTTTATGACTTCAATAGTTATGTATTCTAAACATTTTTCCGATTCCCTTTCACGATTCAGCTTCGCATTTTTATTTCCATTAAATTTCGTGTTTATATTCATCTATCGATTTTTTTACGGATATCTACATTGTAGAGTTATTATAAGGGAGAACACTTGAGCGAAAACTTACAAAGAGCACGATGTTTGACCATCGAAAAGAACCCTTCTGAAAGCCTTTTTTCCACCCGCCACATCATCCTTCAGTATCCCCCAAGAAAGTTAGTATACTCGTTTTCGCGACCTTCGTCATTTGCTCCCTTTCTTCTACCTACCTCTCTCCGCCGTGAAAACTTTTCTCCCAGTCGTTTTAGCAGGAGCAGCTTTTTTTCTTCACCTAAAACCCCGAACAAATGCATCCCACGCGAGTTGTTTTTTCTCTGCTCCGAAACGCATCAATCTCCCTGCGCGAGTCGGTCCATCCGTGTTCGATGGCGGCGAGGCGGCTTTCTCGAAGCTTTTAGTCGTCACAGGTATGCTATGCGAACGAAACGAACGTGTTCCCGAGAACGTACACATGTTTCACTAATGATAGATAAATGTATCGATAGTAAATAAATTCCCGCAAAATAGACTTAAATCAACTGAAGACAAGTAATGTGCTGCGCGAGTCGGTCCATCCGTGTTCGATGGCGGCGAGGCGGCTTTCTCGAAGCTTTTAGTCGTCACAGGTATGCTATGCGAACGAAACGAACGTGTTCCCGAGAACGTACACATGTTTCACTAATGATAGATAAATGTATCGATAGTAAATCAATTCCCGCAAAATAGACTTAAATCAACTGAAGACAAGTAATGAGCGGTATAAGAATAAATTCGTAACTATACTAATTATCCATTGCTTTTAGCACGTTCTGAAGTTGAAATTTTATGTTTATATTTATTCGAGAAGAATTTGAAATTTTTTATTAGCATAATATCATGTTACAGTAGACGCATCTCGTGCGCAAATAATAATAGAAGATATTTTACGGAGATTTCATCTTCGCATAAAACACCGTTATCCTTTCGAAACCTCCTTGCATCGTTCCTCAAAAGCTCGTCAACATTCATTTACGACAGCCCTGGCCTTCCTGATTCTCGACATGCGCTCTCATAAGAGCATCCACCGTTAAATAAGTCTTCCGCTTGTACATATATATGAGGCTAAGAAGAGAGGACGAGTAAAACTTATATTAGACCTTAGAATTACCTGAGGTCTTTCAGAAATTTCTCCCGAGATTGCGCTTATAAATTTTCCAGGAAATTTCGGTACTCTCTAAAGAGAAGCCTTCGTAAACATCGTATCCAGAAATTATGATGACGATATTACATCACTCCGCAATTTCCTGTTTATTTTGTAGAAACAACGCGCGTACATTGAAGTAACATTTTACCGTCGATTGAACTTGTATCTGTTATTAATTCGGTGTTGAGATTTTCGTCGTTTTCATCATTATCAATTCTTACGTTCTGCTTTCGTAAAAACTGCATTCTGGCTTTCATCCTTTTTCGAGTTCATTAAAATGCATCCATAAAATCCTTGTTCTTCGTGGATCTCAATAGGTATTCTCGTAAAAGCGTTCGTCGTTAAACAAATATCTCTTCTCTAATGTCAAAGTACAGTTACCCGTAGGGCAACGAGACTTTTGAGAGTCCTCGACATTAAAAGGCGTATCTCGTACGCGACGTGAGTCGTAGTAGAGAAACAGTAGGCGTACATCGCGCCAGAATATTTACCGTGCATCAAAGAGTTAGAATTCCGGTAATAGAATTGGCAGAAATTTGCCAGGCTCATTGTTTGCCCATCCGATCTCTTGATTTCTATTGGTCTACCGATTGCCTTCGCGTTGTGAGAATTTTAACTATATCGATCGGTCCTGAAATACGTACGCGAAACTTCCGGTTGGATATTCGAGCGAAGCTAGGGAGGAGGAGATTTCTTTCCTTCACTTTGGAGAAAATTAAATCACTTCTAGAAGTAATTTCTTTATATCTCTTAAGCAGGGATTTTAACAAGTTAAAAGAACGGAAACATGTCAAAAAATATAAAAAGATGTTTCCCTCTTCCTATGTGATATCCTTTGTATGCGCGGTAATTTTTGCAAAAGGGAGAGAATGGTATAAATCTCACCTTTTTTTACGGATGAAAATTATCCGAAATTAACGGCGGGAATTAGCAGCGAAAGCGGTACAAAAGCGTTTAATTACACCAAAGCACGGGGAACGTGTTAAATATCTCTCGCTTGGCATTAGTGCTTTTCTCTCGCGCGGAGTCGTTAGTTTTTAATCGGCGGAACAAGCACACACGATGCGTGTAGCACATCGATGCGAACGAGCGCGACCCGTATCCTCGCGCGAATGCTCGTATCCTCCCTCGCGGAAGATAAATAACGCGAAAATCGCATTTGGCAGCCGGCCAAAATACGAAACACCCTCGTCGCTCTCGACGAGGGGCGCGTATTAAATTCCCGCGACCGCCCGGATCATTTAAATCCCTTTTCAGCTAGTTAAAATACCGTGGTGTATATTCCGGAGCGCTGCAGGAAAATTATTTTGCGTGAGCGCGGAGAAAGGGCGGTGATTTTAATTTCATTTTCGTGGGCGAGGGCGTATGTGCGTCACGCACGTGGCGCGTCTAATTTTCTACACGGTAGAGCGGTGCACCGACTTAATTATTTCGACGTGAGACATCTGCATTTGCGCTGTGTGGGAAGAATGCAGACGTAGGATTGGATTTAAGTATTGTATAGTTTGCGTTGTCAGGCGCGAAGATTGTGCGTGGAAAAATAATCCTCACAAATATACTGATAAAGAAAATAATTAAAAAATTTAAGAAAATGAAATAAAAATAAGATATTATACATATATATATA